ATATTTAAAATATAAGTTAATGTAAGTTAAAATTATGATCTCAAATAGAATTGGCTTGTTTTATAAGAGACATAGGACATTAAGATACAAGCCAATTGTATCAGAATATATGTGGAATTCTTCCCCCATAGCGGAAATAATATTAGTAGAAATTTTGAATTTCTGTGAAATCCAATAACCACAATTACAGAAGGATGGGGAATAATATGGAACTATTTAAAAGTTCTAAAAGATTATAAGGCAATATATATTCACATTCTTTACATTATTTATAGTAGTAATGATATTAATAAGAAGATAAATCAATCATTTTTTACAAACTGTTATAGCTTCGGCCTGTTTAATGTTTTTCGAATATATTGGCTCATTTAATCATTCCAACAGCTTTATGAGATACATAAAATTAGTATTCTCTATGGTCAGAGATATTTTTCTTTAGCTAAATTAAGTACCTCCAATATTTAAAAGCAGGAAAGATGCTGTTTCTGTAGTTAGACATGTGTCAACGTGGCTGGGTCAAATTCTCAGTAGTTTGGCCATAACAATGTAGGAAGGAGTTCTGGTTGCCCCATGGCTACAAGTTGGGCTGCTAACCACAATGTCAGCTCTGTGGAGGAAAAATGAGGCTTTCTACTCCTATAAAAAGTTAGTCTTGGAAATCAGCAGTGACAGTTCTACCCTCTCCTATAGGGTTGCTCTGAGTCAGAATTGACTCAATGGGAGTGCAGTTTAATGTCCCAGGCATGATGTTAGCTAACACAGTGGAATCGACTCCATAATGGAATCTGCTGTGAGCAGCCAACCTGCAGTAAGAAGCGCAGGGTGACCTTTTCTCTGGCCAGTGCACTGATGAAATTCCCTGGGTGTGATGTAGGGTGGCGGTGGGGGTGCGGACGGTATGCTTTCTCTGCAAGTAGACACTGTGAGAAGAATGATAGCCTTTCTGCTGGGTCTGGATCCTTCATACGGTTCACTGACCTCCAGTGGCTAGACTAGAGCGAAGTACCTGTCTGCTGATCCTGGGGGCTGTTAGTGACCTGTCATTGGACCTGCATACTGTGGGTGCATCCTCCTCTGTATCCACTAGCCTGCGGTCTTCCTGCTTCCTGGTTCATTTTCCTGGTTCGTGGCTTTTCCTCTTGTTCATCAGTCTCCATAGATGAACACAAGTCAGGAGAAGCCTCCAGCTTTACGTTTGATCCACAGAGTAGAATAAGATTCGATGGATTCTTACCTAATATCTCTGAGATTTAAAATGTATATAATTTTTCTATTGAATGTTTGGTTTGCTAACCACAAGATCGGCAGTTCAAACTCACCAGGCACCTCCTGAGACAAAGATGAGGCTGTCTGTACTTTTTTGTACTCTTCTTCATCTAACCCTCTAGCAATCTACTGATCCACTGAACATATGTTTATTTGTTTTACTTTGTTTCTTCAGAAGGTCTTATAAAGAAATCATCTACAATGTAGCTTTTCAATTTTATGTCACATAATGTTTTTAACATACATGATTACATTTATCATTAGTTAATTTCATTTTTTCCATGTATTGTCTAATTGCAAACATTAATTCTCCAGTTTTTGGAATTTATAATCATTTATATTTCATTTTAGGTAAAAGGTTTCTTATTTTTTGTTAGTTTTTTACATAATTAAAGCTCTATTCCCTAGATTGTTGTCCATTTGATATAATATAGAGTTAAAAAATGCAAAAACCTGATTATGTATAAAGTAGAAACAGGTAGGGAAGAAAATTCAATTTATTGTTACTAAAATCAACAATAGAAACTGGTAATATTAAGCCCTTTCAAATGCAAAAATGTGGGGGAGGGGAGATGGGGAGAGCCATAATCATGTCAAGTTCTGATTCTTACAGGTTTCAATGTATTTTCAGTACATTGAATTCAATATATTTTTAATGACACAATGTTAAATGGTGACTTTTTTCCCTTTTTAAGATAATTTCCTACTCATTTAAAAGATTCTCAGGGGCTAGTTTCACTTGAAGATTTAAAGAGTTTTTACAGCAATATTCTAAATGATTTCACCAAACCCAGTTCAGTAAATATTTCTGGATTCTTTGAGAATTTATTTCACTCATTCTAACTTTGTCCATCTAATATGCACCTGATCATAACATTTAATCAAGACAATGGGCAGCATTTAATAAAGTCTTTCAGTAACACAGGTAGGGGCTCATGGGGACAATTAGTCCTATAGTCAAGCTCCTTTCCTGATTCTTGGGTTTAATTCTTTCTCTTTACTTACAAATAGAAAGTAATAGTTTTATGTTTGATTCTTGCTCATAATCTTTTAATACCCCAGATGCTGTATACAAAACTTGGAGGTAGAACATATTATTCCAATTGATTGAATTCCATGAAATCTTGAACCTAAAGCCAAGCTGATAAGCTAATCTTGCAAGGTGACTGATTTTTGCCTTGATGTTCCAGTTTCTGCACTCCCACTTCTTCCTATTCTATGTATTTCCTGTTGCTGTTAGCACGATGCATAACCACTTTGACACCAGGGCTCCTCTAAAAAGAAAAACTAGCAAACATTATTATTTAAATTTTCACATCAGCCATTAAAACGTAAGAAGGCTAATGCCTAAACAAGCCCAAACCACTGGAGAGATTCTATCTACTACTTTGATATTGATAAAACATGCCATCAAAATGGTTATTGGAATGAGAAATTTGGAAACAAATAGGAAGGATTGGTGGTTAGAAAATATGGCTTTGGTGATAGCAATGAAGCTTGAGATCACATGATCAAATTTTTCAAGACTAATAACATCATTGTTTCAAATGCCTTTTTGCAACAACACAAACACTGAGCATGCATGTGAACCTTGTCAGGTGGAATACACAGGAATCAGTTTGACTAAATCTCTGATAAGAATGAATGGATAACCTCACTACCATCAAACAAATCAAGGCCGGGGGCTAAATAAAATAGACTATCAATTACTCATATGTAAGTTCTGGCTGAAGTCGAAGATAATGAAAACAAGAACATGAGACAAAGTACAACCTAAGCTTGTCCCATTTGAAGTTAAAGAACACCGTAAGAACAAATTTGGTGTAGTGAACAAGAATCACAGAAGAGCAAGGGAGTTATTAGATAACATAAATAGATAACATTAGATAACATCATGCATATAGAATGCAAAAGGTTATTACAAGACTAGTAAGATATAAAAAGTGGTGTGAGTGGCGAAACAGGGAGGGTAAAGGGAGAATGGGTAGGAAAGAGGGAACCGATTACAAGGAACTATATGTGACCTCCTCCCTG